CCGCTTTGACGTATGGCAACCAGGGCAGCTCCAGCTAGTCCACCCAGCCGCCATTACGAATGCTCTCGTGCCAATCCCGCACGCGTTCACCACGGGGAGCATTTCCCAAATGTTCAACATTGCCTTCCGTCCATGCCAGTACTTGTCCAGCTTCACGTCTTCCAAGTATAGGCGAAATCCGACCTTCCAGACAGAAGTTACTGCGACTTGCTGATTTGTCGCAAATGTTTGACAAGCACTTCCTTTATGCTTTTCAACATGCCATGTGTGGTAATCCACAGTTAGCGAACAAAGTTTCAGTCTAATATCTTACACATGGCGAAGCTGTAAGAGTCATCCAATAATCAACTGTTATTTTTCTGAGTAGGTAGGTCTTAAGTTATGTCCTGAATCAACAATACCAATGTGTCTACAAGTGCTCATTGATCAAGCACAAAAAATCAGGTCCAGATCAGATGATGTATCAATAAGATATAACTTTTGGAATAATGTAAGGGGCGCACTGGAGTCTAGTGTTAAACAAGAATACCAATGTGTGTAAAAGTGCTTACTGATTACGCACAATAAATCTGGTTCAGATCGGATGATGTATCACTGACATATAACTGTAGGAATAACATAGCGGAAACTGTGGAGGCTATTGTCCACTTATGGATTCCTGTTCAAAGGGTGGACAATGATTGATCATATTGATTTTGGTGCACCTCGGTTCAAATCTGTGCAATTTATAGCCAAACGTATTGCAACGGTGTCACTTCTGAATTCGTCACGAGGCCATACCCACATCCTCCTTCAAAAATTTAATTTAAAGTAAGTCAGACCAACTTGTTATATGTCTTCTAACACAGGATTAACCTGATTAGGTCAAGAGTGTCAGAGAGGGAGCATTACAAGTAAAAAAAAAAGTGACTTCCTGTTCTGAGGGGGCGGGGCTTTGATGACATCAGAATATGACCACAGAAGTTTGTCGGGCATCCAACAGGGATGACTCATGCCAATTTTTGTGCATTTTGGTATTTCAATGTGAAAGTTATAGCGTTTGGAAATTTATGGCATGAAGCGCAATTTTGAGGCCTGGCCACGCCCCATTAACATACACGAAAACGCAAGCTTTTGATAACATTTATTCCCCAGTGTGTTAAGGGCATATTAACCAAGTTTGAAGGCAATCCTTCAAAATTCCTAGGAAGAGTTTGTTAAAATTTGCCATTAGAAACTCCCAAAAATGACCCTTTGACCCAAAATGGCTGACTTCCTGTTGGTTTTGGACCAGGGCGCCAAAAGACTTTTTCATAGGTCCTGACAAGATACAAATCTTCGCCGAGTTTCAGAATTATCGGTCCAAAAATGGTTTGGAGCTGAGGTTTTAAAATATTCTAGGGTGCGCTGTGGAGGCTATTGGCCAATTATCATGGCTTCCTGTTCAAGAGGTGGATAATGATCGATCATACTGATTTTGGTGCACCTCGATTCAAATCTGTGGAATTTAGAGCCAAACGTATGGCGACGGCGTTACGTCTTACGTCGCCATGTCACGACGCCCACATGCTCCACCCAAAACTGTCTGTGTTGGAAAGCAAGTTATACCAACATGTCTTCAGGCACTAGACACACTATCATGCTGATCAGGTAATGGGCCAGATAGGGACCGTTCAACGTAAAACTTTACACTTCCTGTTGTCAGGGTGCGTGGCTTAAGTTATGACATGATTTGACCATTCAGTCTTGCAGGGGCTGGATGAGGCTCAATCACTGAAGGTTTGATGTCTCAGACAGTTTTCATGTAGGAGCTATTAGCGTTTCGTTTTTCATGTCAAACTTTGAGGTTTGGCCCCGTCCCTGCAGCATGCTCCGAAACGAACTGTTTAGATAACTTTGCGTCCCCGATGCCTTTTGAACAAAATGGCCAAGTTTGAAACTGATTGAGCGAAATCCCTAGGACAAGTACGTTCAAATGTGGAGGCTGTAAACTCAGAAAACCGTTCAATACAAAAAAAAAAAAAAAAGGCCAATTCATTTGACAGAAAAATTGCAGCTCTGGCCTGAACAGAGCGAAGCGCTGCTCGGGCTGAGCTGCAATTTTTTTTCCCGCCAAATGAATTGATGTTTTGGGGGCCTTAACATATCCCAAAAGTCATCAAATTTGGCGGACACATCAGGACTGGTGATAAATTACGTATTTTAAGGGCGTGGCAAAAATCGCAACAGAAAGGGATCAAGAGCGCCACCTAGAAATTTTCAAAATACCCTCTGCATTAATCTTAGTTTGTCGTAGAAACATGAAATTTGTTATGCTTGTCCAATTCCCCAAGATGCACAGAAAACCCTCTGGCACCAACGTTGTACGATAAACAGGAAGGCGGCCATTTTGGAATGCCGGCCCAATTTTCACACCTTTTTGAAGGTTTACAGTCTCCGCATTTGAACGAACTCCTCCTAGGGATTTCGCTCAATCGGTTTCAAACTTGGCCATTTCGGTCAAAAGGCATGGAGGACACAAAGTTATCTAAACGGTTCGTTTCGGAGCATGCTGAAGGGGCGGGGCCAGACCTCAAAGTTTAACATCTTGCCATGAAAAATGAAATGCTAATCTAATAGCTCCTACAAGAAAACTGTCTGAGGCATCAAACTTTCAGTGCTGCATCCACATCCGGTCCCCTGCAAGACTGAATGGTCAAATCATGACATCACTTAAGCCATGCACCCTGACAACAGGAAGTATAAAGTTTTACGTTGAACTGTCCCTATCTGATCCCTGTTACCTGATCAGTATGACAGTGTGTCCAGTGACCGAAGACATGTTGGTGTAACTTGCTTTCCAACACTGACAGTTTTGGATGGAGCATGTGGGCGGTGGAACCTGTGGGCGGCGCGGTGAAGCAAGACGTAACGCCTTCGCCATACGTTTGGCTCTAAATTCCACAGTTTTGAACCGAGGTGCACCAAGATCAGTATGATCTATCATTATCCAACCCTTGAACAGGAAGCCATGATAAGTGGCCAATAGCCTCCACAGCGCCCTTAGAATATTTTAAAAACTCAGCCCCAAGCCAATTTTTGACCGATAATTCTGAAACTCGGTGAACATCTGTATCTTCTCAGGACCTATGAAAAAGTATCTTGGAGCCCTGGTCCAAAACCAACAGGAAATCGGCCATTTTGGGTCAAAGGTTAATTTTTGGGCGTTTCTAATTGCGAATTTTAACGAGCTCCTCCTAGGAATTTTGAAGGATTGACTTCAAACATGGTTGAAATGCCCTTAAGACATTGGAGAGAAAATGTTATCAAAAGCTTCGTTTTCGTATATGTTAAAGGGGCATGGCCAGGACTCAAAGTTTCGCTTCACACCATAAATTTCCAAACACTATAACTTTCACATTGAAAGACCGAAATGCACGAAACTTGGCATGACTCATCCCTGTTGGATGCCCGACGATCCACTGCAGTCATATTTTGACGTCATCAAAGCCCCACCCCCTCGGAACAGGAAATCTCTTTTTTAACTTGGAATGCTCCCTCTTTGACACCATTGACCTAATCAGGATGATCCTGTGTTAGAAGACAGATAATAAGATATGACTTGATTTAAAGTGCAAACTGTTTTTGCTTGAGGATGTGGGCGTGGCGAATTAAGAAATGACGCTGTTGCAATACGTTTGCCTCTAAATTGCACAGATATCAGCCGCGGTGCACCAAAATCACTATGATTGATCATTATCTGCCCCTTGAACTGGTATCCATGATAAGTAGCCAATAGCCTCCACAGCGCCACCTACATTATTCCTACAATTATAGCTCAGTGATACAACATCAGATCTGTACCAGATTTATTGAGCAACATCAGTGAGGAATTTTAGACACATTGATATTGTGGTTTAACATTTGACTCTAGTGTGCCCCCTACATTATTCCAAAAGTTATATCTCAGTTAAACATCATCTGATCTGAATCAGATTTTGGGTGCGTCATTAGTGAACACTTCTAGACACACTGGTATTGTATTTTATCTTTTGACTCCAGTGCACCCCCTACATTATTTCAACAGTTATACCTGAGTGAAATATTATCCAATATGTACAAGATTTATTGTGCATGATCAGTGAGCACTTATAGACACATTGATATTGTTCTTTAACATTTGACTCAAGTGCGGCCCCTACATTATTCCAACAGTTATATCTCAGTGATACATCATCCGATCGGAACCAGATTTTTTATGCATAATCAGTGACTACGTCTTGTGGTTTAACATATGACTCAAGTGCAACCCCTAGATTATTTAATCAGTTAGATCTCAGTGATATATCATCCGATCTAAGCCAGATCTTTGTGAAAAGAAATCGTCCATCATTAAACAGGGGTGGAGCCTCCATGTTCAACTGTCCCCCTCTTACAATGCTGTGATTGCTAGTATCACTCAACCCCCTGTGAACAGTAAACATCCATCAGATGCTAATGATCCATTGTTAGGCTGATGGTCCTTCTTGATCATGTGAGCAGATGGTTTTGGTTGTCAGCAGCAAAACTGGTTGATCCACTCTGAGAAGGTGCTATTTAAGAGACTGAGCTGAATACAGCACCTCAGACTGAGGAAGTCCTCAGGATGAAAGATAAAACATTTCTACTTTTTTTTGTTTTGTTTTGTGAATGTTCAGAGGACCAGATTTAACTTTTTTTTAGAACTTTCTATTTAACAAATTGCGTTTCTTTGTTTCTTCAGTCCCTTCACGATACATTCACTACCATTTGTTAAGTCCATTTACAATGTATTGCAATTTTAAATGATCATGTGTATGTGTTTTTTTTTCTTGTTTGCTGCTTTTTTAATGATTTGTTCTCTTTTAATCTGCTGTTAAGCACTTTATGTTACACTATGTTATATGAAAAGTGTTTTATGAATAAAGTTTAATAGACTGATATTCTCCAGAAACCCTAAGGTCTTCTTTTCAAAATGTACGTGTATGACTGCATGGCCTGTGGGAAGTGTTTTAAACACTCACCGCTGAAGTTGAGCTGGGAGCAGGTGCACAGGGAGTGGATGATGTTGATAACCAACCCGTGGGTAGAAGCTCTCAGAGACAGAGGCCCAGTAGCTACTAGTAGGGTGACCACATGAAAGAGGTACGGCAGGTGAGCAGCCACATCCAGAGAGTTGTTGAATGACAGCATGAGCATGTAGCGGGCCAGGATGGCGATGTCGTCCCACATGAGGTGCTGCTCCAGCGTGGGCGTTGGAGACAAGCACGTTTTGTCTATAATCTTACACATCCTACCGATGACCTGCCACAGAGAAGAATGGGAGACCCACACTGAAACCAACAAACAAGAAGTGTTTCTCAAAGGAGAAGTCTGCTGCAGAAATAAAATGCCTTGAAATCAGAATCAGAATAAGTTTTATTATCATTGTACCGGGATACAGTGAAATTATATTCGTACAGTCGTCCGAAAGATAGGCGGAGTACACGTTGCTGCTGCTAACATAGCATGGCCCCTTATTCTTTATAAGAATACTTTTAGATAGAAAAGGGGAAAAGGCCATGAGGGTGGATAGTGGTATTACAAAAAAGATCTCTTCACAGCTTGTCCTATCAGGACACGATTTGAGACGTCAAAAAAACTCTACCGGTAAGCACATTTATAAACATATTACATATGCATTCGATGTCAAGATTTGTTCATGAGCACTTTCAGATAGATGGGCCATAGTCCTAATGAGATGTTGTGTGTGTGTGTGTGTGTGGGGTGATAGACAAAGCTTTTTCCGCTGTTACCCGTGTCCCAGGAGAAATTTGAAAGTCGGCTCGTATCCGAGGCCAAACGGGGGAGTCAGATTCAGATCAGCCACAATTGTTGATTTTCTTCAGGCAGACAGTTTTTTTCTTGTCAGCCTTGAGTCCTGCTGGAACTTTGTTTCTTGGTCCAAAATGGCCAGATTTATGGGTATTCCACTCCACTGATCCGCATTATGAGCCTCTTCAAGGTCGATCCCACATTCTGTTGAGTCCTAGAAGCCGCAGGTTGCATGCGATTCTCACACATCACCTCCATCTTACGGTTTAGCTCATTAATCAGCTGATTTTGAGTCCTCATAGCATGTACCAAACACAGACTCGGAAGCTTTGCCATAGCTGAAACTGCTGCTGATGTCTCTTCAAGTTGATAAAACACAGCACTGCCGAAGCCAAAGAACAGAACCACTGCTATCATAAATCCAAAATATAAACGTCTTCAGCGTCCTCCTGAAACAGAACTGAGAGACACATCAGCTGATCTCTGATGTACCCCGCAGCGTGAGTCTCAGCCGGGCAAGAGGGTTCTCCAGGACCCTGTTGTTTTGATGAAAAGATTTTGTCGATTTCGTTGAAAGTCTAGCTCATAAAGGAATTCATCATTCAGTTCATTGAAGGAATGCATATAACCCTCCACCTTTCATTCCAGCGCTTTAGACTAAAATCTTTTAATGATAAGAAATGAAGGAACAGTAGCTGTTATGGTCAAACCGTGAAATTACCGTTACGTACAATATCACACAATACTGTGTGATATCACACAGTTTGTGTTGAGCGCTACCACAAGCTCAATATCTGTACCACTGACTGAGTTACAACAATTCCTGTGCTGGCTAATATGGATTATAGGAGTTGTCATCTTGAAGTGGATTGACTACAAATGTTAATCAATTGTGGAGGTACATCAAATTATTATTTTTTGAAAGTTTCATTAAATTTTGTCCAGTATTAATGAGATATTTTGCTAACAGACAAATAGGATTTACATGTCAGCAGTGAAACGGATTGTCCAGACATTTTTAAACTGATGTTCTGATTAATAGTTATTAATAGTCAGTACCTTATTAGCTGTGACATTAGTCACAGGGTATGGAGAAAAAGGCAAAAGTCTTTGTCTAGGCTAGAGTAAAGGGCTAGCCAAATAAGTGCTTGTTTTTTAATGGTTTTCAGGCTTATAAAACAACATGGACATTGCTTAGTTGTAAAAAAAACCAGTGATAAACTAAATAATAATAACAATAATAATAATAATGTGTATGTATTGTCATCATTGTATGTTCCCATATAATGGCGAAATTGCCCGGGGAGCAATTGGGGATGGGGTGTCCTGCTCAGAGACACCACGAGATGTACAATGACCGGGGATTGAACCCGGGACCTTCGGGTCCCAAGGTGGCTGACGTGCCCCAGCACCACCTCGGCCCCTTAAAA